TTTTTTTCAATTATAATCTACAGCATCTTAAAGATACTTTGTATTTCAATTTTAGTAAACAGGTGTCCTAACAAATGTGAGAGAAACAAAGGCTTTATTTGTGATCCTGAATAATGCTAAATACTATTTCTCCAGCAATGCTGTATATAGGTATACACTGGCAGCTGTATAAAATCAAAACTACTTGTTTTTCTTTGTATGGTTTCTATTGCTGCTCTCTCTTCCTGTCTCTCAAATGTTTGGGAGCAGAAGTGAAAAGTCAGTGATGAAAACTGAGTTCCTGTAACTGTTTCCATTGCAATGAAATTCTGTCATCCCACATTTTTTTTCTTATTTCCTCCAGAATATAGCTAACAAATACATGCCTACCAATTAGGGAATTCAAATCAGTAGACATTGGCACAGAATAGTGTAACATAGATCCACACATATATGGACAATTAATGTCTGAAAACTGTGCAAAGGCAATTCAATGGAGAAGGAAAATCCTTTGAATAAGCATTTGATGTTGTTTCAATTGGATATGTTACCCAAAGTATTAAAAAAAACCTCAGTGTGTATCTTCTAACACACAGAGCATTGAACATAAGTGTCTAACTGATAATATTAAATTTCTAGAAAAGTAAAAGAAAAAAATTGTGAATTGGGTAATAGCACAAAGTACATAGCACCACGAAGAATAAAATAGATAAGTTAGACTTCATCAAGATTATAAAACTTGATGCTCTTTTAAAACTACAGAAAGCAAGGTTAAGAGTATAGAAAGTAACTTGAAACTGGAAAATAATATTTACTGAAGTTTTAGTTGTTAAAATAATTATACCTACAATATAAAAAGAACCATGAGAAACAAAAACAAACAGAAAAAGCCAGGCGTAGTGGTTCACACCTTTAATATAAGCAATGGGGGGGGGGCAGAGGCAGGCAGGTCTCTATGCAGGAGGCCAGCCTGGTCTGCATAGAGAGCTCCAAACCAGATGGGGCTACAGGAAGATCCTGTCTCAAACAAAACTAAACTAAACTAAACAAAATGAACAATGAAAAATTAACAGCAACACAACTAACACTTATCTTAAAATAGGCAAAATATGAATACACACATGATATAAGAAAATATGTGAATGGCAAATCAGCACATAAAAACATGCTTAACATCAGTACTTACTTATAAGGGAATTGCAAAGAAAATCACAAGACTGTACCATCACATATCTATCAGGAAGGTTACATGTAAAAAGACTTAGCACACCAAATGTTTTGACTGCTGGTAGATTCGAAAATAACAATTTCTTTTGGAAACAGGTAATTTCTTATAAATGTAATCATAGAACTTTCATATGATTTAGCCATTCCAATCCTAAGAGTCTTTTTCTATGATAAATGAAAAAATATGTCCACACACAAACTTGTATACAAAACGATCACAGCACCCTTATTTATAGTAGCCACAAACTCAAAATCACACAAATGAATATAAATACATTGTAGTACTTACAAGTAATATATCGCTATTCAGTAAGAAATAGGAAAAAATTCTTGATTCTTAGAAGAGAGATAACATTCTAAACAATTGTACTAGTGAAAGAATACAGGCAAAAAGTCAGTTATACTCCATGATATTGTTTATTTGCAATTTTAGAGAAGGCAAATTAATCTATAAAACAGAACAGAGGTTAGTGGATTGCCAAGGGAGAGAAGAAAAGAATCATAGAGGCACGAAAAAACATTTGGTGTGCTAAAAGCTATTCATTATCTTCATGGTGGTGATGCATCCATAGGTATATACATTTATTGAAGTTTACTGTATATATTATACTCAAATAAAATTACTTTTAATAAGGAATGAATTTGCTCAATAAGACAAAACGTCTGGATGAAACCCCCTACACATACATACACACACACACACACACACACACACACACACACACAAACAAAGAAACAAACAACAAGGTCGCAAAATAAATGAACGTGTGGGGCTGACAAAATAGCTCAGTGGGTAAAGGTTCTTGCTATACAAGCCTGGCAACCTGAGTTTGATTCCTGGAATGCACATAAAGGTGGAAGGAGAGAACTAACACCACAAAGGCATCTTCATCCTCCACAAGTGCTCCATAGTGTAATAGCACAAAGTACTAGTGTGTGCATGCACACACTAGTGCACACACGCACAAAGGCGCATGTGCACGCACACACACACGGACACACACACACAGTTTTTAAATTAAAAAATCAAAATAAATGAATTTGTAATGTGTACATTTACAGATATTTTAAACAAAAGATAATGCTGCTACACTTGTCGCTGTGTTCTTTTTTCTGTGTTTCTGTGTTGGGGTTGCCAATAGAAGGGACTGTATATGTTCAAATAAGGGAAGATAAAAACAGTTGTCAAAGCGTAACAGATTCTATGGTAACCATTATCTCACGTAAACAATGGAATTGAGCACTCATTAAAGTGCTCAAAAATTATAGAACAAACATCATTGTGCGAAAAGCTTATATATATAATCTTGTGATAAAATATAGGTATATAACATACTTATAGATTCACAGTAGGAGGTATAATATATAACATCAATTAGATTGTTACATGCAGAAATACCTACTGCTTTTAAGAAGCTATTATCGAAAATTATATAGCAGACACAAATGTTACAAAAATAAAAACATATTACAATATAGCTAAGATAATAAATGCACAACAAAAGAATATGGTGATTGAAAAAAGTTCAATCACAATTATTTCAAACACTGTCATCGTTTACAGATAGGGAAAAAAACTTCTAAGTTAAAACATCATAATAATTCACTAACATTTTGCATGAGTTTGAGGTGTTTTGTTTACAGGTTTCTTTCCCATTTTTTTTCTCCTAAAAACATTTCCAATACAACTGTGTAATTAGGAATTAACCACTTAAAATAAGGAAAAAATCCTCTATGACGATAACTGTAAACTAAAAGCAATAATTGAGTCCAATATGGTGAGTTAGACCAGAGATATTTTCTAAAGGATCCACAGTTGCCTTAATTCACATCTTAAGTCATTTTATCTTTTGGATCTCACCACTGATTAATTTCTTTCTTCATTCAATTGGATAAAAGATAACAGGTAATTTCAAATGGACTATAAAACTATGAAAAGATATTCAAACTTACAATTAATTCAAGAAATACAAACAGAATATTAACAAATTATTTGGGAAATATTAGTTTAAAATGTGAATAGTAATTAGTTCTCAGTGTACCTTTAGTTACATCTGACTATTTAGTAGTATTTTAATGTATTGACTTACTTCAATTAATACATTTCTTAATAAATGAAAAATGAATTTAAAACTACCTAATTATTGAGGAACTGTGGTCTGCATAATGAGACTTTGTCTCTAAAAATAACAGCAAAACTTAAAACCGCCTCATTAGTTGTTTGCAGAGAAAGAGTGCCCAATAGATCAGAAAGGAGAATGCAGAAACATCCAATCACTTCAGCAATATGGTAAATGAGGCATTTCAATAAGTATAGATAGAAAGATTACTAAACAAATGGTTCTCAAAGAAACAGGTAGCTACTAAAATAAAAACTTTAAGTATCTTTAGATGTAGCTCAGGGGTAAAGCAGAAACGCCTGTGTAATTTCCTGGGTTCTATACCCAGTCCTGGAAAGGAAATAAACCAACAGAGATTCCAAATTCATCACTGAGTCAAAAATGCCTAACTCAAAAATTCCTATGTTATAGAATTTAACATGTAAATATAACTCTTAAAGTAGTAGAAAAATACAATATAACAACATTCATACAAAATATATCCATTATTGCAACTAAAAATAGTAAGAGGTAGAACAATATTTCTCATTTAACCCATGGATTTGAATTACTGTTTCTATAATTTATGTTTTGACCAAAATTAGGAAACAAGAAAACAAAGATAAGTACATTCTATTTAGCATTAGAATTCCATCCTCTACTGATGTGCCTGTCACAGGAAAGACACAGACACATATTAGTTGATTCTTGGAATGAATGAACTCATATAAATTATAACCTTCATGGAGTTTTGCAATATGTTTTGCAAACTTCATGGAGTTTTGCAAAATTACAAAATAATCATACAATTTAGTTCATACTCCAAATTTTAGGAATATATCTTATTAAATTTATGAAGTACATAAAAATGCGTGCTGTAAGTCGGAATATTTTTTTGGTCTTTTTGAGAACATTTTTGTAATAGTAAAATAGTGTATATTTAGGACAGAAATGAAACCAATGATATGGAGGTGCATATATGTATATTATACATATAGTCCCGTCATCCTATTCTGGTTAAATATTTATTTCATTAGAATTCTCACCTATTTAAAACTAAGGCATCAATAATTTCCTATGAAAGTATAGCCAAAATAAATTAGAAAATTACAGAGCATCATATGATGTCCACATCATCCACAGATAAAATAGTATACACAAATAAGCAGTTACCAGGAAATTTCGGAAGGAAATGCATCGAAATATTAACAACACCCTGCATTTAATTGTTAAAGTAAAATTTTTACTATCACTAGAGTCTTATAAATTAATGTTCTGTCTTGAAAATGTACATACACTTTGACAATTAGCTATAAAATAAATTAAATTACAAATTAGAAAAGCATTTCCTAACTTAAAGTATATTTCCAAATGACAAAGCACAAACTAAAATGAAAAGTAGTACACAAAGGCTTGTCACACTGTAATATCTTTCTTCATTTGAAATTAATAATATATCATATTTTATATTTGATATAGTACTTACAGTCTATGAACAAGTTCAGAGGGAGGATGTGATTAAGTAGTTTATTTTCTCATTTGCATGCCAAGTCACCCCTGTGGATTTTTCTGCCTGTCTAGAAATATCAAGATATCTTCCAATCAAATCTCTAAAAGACTGTATCCTGTGAATTTTTATTTAAGTACAGATGGGCAGTTCTTGTCATTCATAAAAATGGGCTACGAGTTCCTTACCTTTCAAAGAAAAGTAAACACTGGTCTTTTTGGTGGTAGCAGAACTGAATCCTGTAAATAAAAATTTTAAAAAGCCTGTTTTTAAGCTTCATTCACCAAAGTTTATTCACATATTATTGAGCTTGTAAAGCATTCTTCAATATGATTAAATTTTATATTGGAATGAAATTGATGGCAGATGACAACTTACACTTACAGAAGATGCACTTTACATTAGAATAAATCTCCCCTCCCATCCTGCTTTTTGGGTAATTGAAACCTGCTGCACAAAAGTCTGAAACAAATCGTCTGCTTTTTAATAATACTACCTAACATTAAATACCCCTTTGTTTTATAACTAAATATTGATCAAGCATTAAAAGGACAACGTGGCAATTAAAGCAACAAGATTAGGGTATAATTATATACCAGCTTTAAGAGAAAAATACAATTAAAATTGTGTAACTGACTCACGGCAACATGGGTTCGCAAACCTTGTAGATGGATATAAACCAGGCTTGCCAAACATCACAGACAGCCCTTATTAAACCTGCTACGTGGAATGCAATATGCCTGCTGTCTAGCCCCTCCCCCCGCTGCCAATAAATGCCCCCTCCCTCGCCGTTCTCCAGTGTGAAAACACACGCTCATAGAATATTTAGAGAAAAATCATGTTTTTTTTTCCTCTGTCATGTACAGTCACACAATCCAATGACGCCACTTCAAGCGTTTACACTCCATTTTTTTAAAACAGTTTTCCATTAGGAGGCCCCCGACGAACCCAACAGGAATTCAGGATGGGCAGCTGAGGAAAGACGCTCCTCTTTTTCCTTGTTACGCACTAAAGCTCGCGGTTTTACCTCAGGTTTACGCTTTTTCCCCCCTTTTGAATTAAAAACTACACAGAATTTGAAGAGGGGGCGTCTTTGGGGGTGTTCACCTCAGCCACCTCAGAGCGGCAGGGAAGGTGGGCGGAGTCGTGAGCGTGGGCGTCTGACTCCCGACTTTCGTTGGGTATGACGTTTGTCAGTCAAGGCCATCCAGCCAATGAGGAGCGACCTAAAGGCACCCTGGGAACGAAGTCAACAGGAGGGCTGTCGCGAGGGGAGGGGGCGCCTCTTCGAAACCCTGAAGAGGCTTCAGGATCCGTACTGCGCCATTCAACTGCAGCAAGCTCTGGCCGGTGTCACCTGAGGCCTGCTCGGGCCTTGTCGCCGCGGCCACCGGCCTCGCTACTGCTGCCGCGGCTACCTGAGCGCCGCCCCGCCGCCGCCTGCTCAACCCGGGCTTTTGCCGCAGCCACCGGAGCATCCGTGAGTCCTTTTCTGCCCATTCCTGGGTGCGCGATCTCTACGGTTGTCAGCACCTGAAAGAGGTGTGCGGGGGCTTGCAGCATGGCGGAAGCCGATCCTAAAATGGTCACGGAGCCCGCCACGCAGGGGGTTGCTGAAGAGGAGATGGCTAGCTCAGCTAGTGACTCCGGGGAAGAATCTGACAGCAGAAGCGCCAGCAGTACCACGAGTTGCAGCAGCAGCAGCAGCAGTAGCTGCAGCAGCAGCAGCTGCAGTCCCGCTTATCGAAAGAGGGTACTCGAGCCTTCCCGAAGGGCCCCGCGGAATCCCTCCGGGAGAAATTTCGTGGAGAGGTTGCCACAGGCGGTGAGGAATCGGGTGCAGGCGCTGAGAAATATTCAGGATGAGTGCGACAAGGTAGATGCCTTGTTTCTAAGGGCAATCCATGACCTGGAGAGAAAATATGCTGAGCTCAATAAGCCTCTGTATGACAAGCGCTTTCAAATCATCAACGCAGAATATGAGCCCACAGAAGAAGAATGTGAATGGAATTCCGAGGATGAGGAGTTCAGCGGTGACGAGGAAGTACAGGATGACACACCTAGTGAAATGCCTCCCTTAGAGGGCGAGGAGGAAGAAGAGACCCCCAAGGAGGATGCTGAAGCAAATACTGAAGCAAAGGATGGTCCTGAAGAAATCCCGGAGGCGACAGCCGAAGAAAAGGAGGACCCAAAAGAAGTTCCGGAGGAAAAAGTTGAAGAAAAGGAAACCCCTAAGGAAATTCCCGAAGTGAAAGTTGAAAAAGTCAAATCTGCAGATTGTATCCAGGTAACTCCTGAAGAAAAAGAAGAGCCCAAAGAAGTCCCTCAGGCAACTGCAGAAAATAAGGAGCAGCCTCAAGCCACAGAATCTAAGCCAAGGGCTCCAGGGAGAGAGGCTCAAAAAAGAGTTCCTGAGACAAGTCCGGAGGAAGGAATGAATGTTAAAAGAGCTCGAAAGGTCAAACCTAAAAGAGAGGAGCCTAAAGGTATTCCTGACTACTGGCTGACTGTTTTAAAGAACGTTGATAAGCTCGGGCCTATGATTCAGAAGTGTGATGAGCCCATTCTGAAGTTCTTATCCGATGTTAGCCTGAAGTTCTCAAACCCTGGCCAGCCTATAAGTTACACCTTTGAATTTCATTTCCTACCTAATCCATACTTCAGAAATGAGTTGCTAATGAAGACATACATCATAAGGTCCAAACCAGATCACTATGATCCCTTCTTCTCTTGGGGGTGGGAAATTGAAGAGTGCAAAGGCTGCAAAATAGACTGGAGAAGAGGGAAAGATGTTACTGTGACAACCACCCAGAGTCGCTCAACTGCTACTGGAGAAGTTGAAGTCCAGCCAAGAGTTGTTCCTAAGGCATCATTCTTCAATTTCTTTAGCCCTCCCGAGATTCCTTTGATTGGCAAGCTGGAACCAAGAGAAGATGCTATCCTTGATGAGGACTTTGAAATTGGTCAGCTTTTGCATGATAATGTCATCTTGAAATCAATCTATTACTTCACAGGAGAAATCAATGATCCCTACTATCAAGATATCAGGGAGTATGGAAACAGGAAGTACAAGTAAAGAAGGTTCAAGAATCTTAAAAGTTTAGGCAAGCAGAAGTGAAACAGTTTCATCTAGCCTTGTAAAGGATAAAACTTGCCCTGTAACGTGAACACTGCTACTCCTTGTGGTCTTGTATTGTCATATTTTCCTGGTAACCCACTTAAACATGTCCTAAAAAGTGTCTTAAGAATCAGTTTATCTCCCTAGCCTGTTGTAGTACAATATTCTTCAAAATATGTAAATGGCTGTTAATTTCTAAAGCATGTTTAGTTTGGTGCTACAGTGTTGATTTTCTGAAGTCCTTTTGTCGTGGTCCTATTAGATTATATCTGTGAAAATTGTCAGACGTGTTAGACAAATACTTGCCTGAACAACAGTGTTATTTAAATAACAACGTAAATGTGTATTCCCTTTCTTTTGCCAGCCCAGAAGCCTAAGAATGGAAATCCGTGTGCACTAGTTGTGCCTTCATTTGCTATAGAAATGTAGTGCTGATACCAAGTGAAACACTATACTGTGAAATTTACTTGCTTGGAAAATATTAGCATATATTTAAAATTGTCAACACATTTTATTTCTGTAAATTTGGTTAATGTGACATAAGGATCTGTAAACTGAAGCTATTGTTTACTGCTGAAGTATTAAATATGATGTATTTCTCAAAAGTTGCCTCATTATATTGTGCAATGAAAAATGAAAGAAACCACATTTTCTTTGTAATATGTTCTACTTTGCCTTTCATTGAAAGATTATATCATTTGATACTTTTTTTCATGTTCTTTTATTGCAACCTAAATAAATAAATGTCAAATAAACTGCCATGCTTTAAATTTTCTCCTAATTATAAAAGTGTGCTTATCATAAAAGTAGAAAATGTTAAGGAAATTACAATTTAATAAACCTAACAACATTCTGGTGTATTTCCTAGATCTGAGTTCATCAATCGGATGATACTTATGATGTTATTGGGAAGGAATGGGTGGGGGGAGGATGAGAACATTGGAGGAAGAAGAGGAAAGTGGCTATAGATGGGGAAAAGGGTGAGATAGAAGAAAAAGGGTGGGAAGAAAGGGGAGAGGTGGGGGTATAGGGAAGGGGAAGGGCAATGGAGTAGGGGGTGAGAAGGGGCAAGAGGAGGGGAGGAAGAGCAGCAATACCTCACCCAGAAATGTATAAGCTGTTGATTTCACATGCCCAGGGCCTACCCTGCACTTGACTTGGAGGTGGTCTCACTCTCCTGGCTCTTTTTTGTTCCCTTGTAGATAACATCGTTTCTCTTCTGTACTTCACAGTTGATCCCAAGGTAATTGGATCCTGAGATTTGGGGTTGAGACTACCAAGAGGACTAGGCCCCCTACACTCAGTTTATTAACGCTCTGCACCAGGTAGGAGGGCACAAAAAGCAGTGAAAATTATAAAGTAATATTTTATTTTACGGTTGCTGTTTCCTAGTAGAAATGTTTTCAAGACTATATGAAAGAACTGTGACAGGAAAAGACAGGATTTGAAAGTTTGTGAGTCTCTAGACATAACATTTCATAATAGTCACCCTAGATTCTACAATGTATTTATACTTTAGCATCTTTTAGCTTTGCTTAAGTTTTATCTCTCTCTCTCTCTCTCTCTCTCTCTCTCACACACACACACACACTATATGTGTGTATGATTGTGTGTATAAAGAAATATTTTTAACTTAAGACATGTATATTTAACCATATTAAGTGCTTGGATCATTGGGTTGTAAAACATCAAGAAGTAAATTATTGATTTTTAGCAGTACCATTAAGTGTTTGAAAATGCCTATTATACTTGAGATTTTGCACTTATCATGAATTCATGGGGCATAGAAAACCCTTTTACAGCTGAGCAGTCAGAGTTATTTATAATCAGCACTTTTACAAGTTATGAGTCCCTGCATTAACCACTACTCACTACAAAAAAAGTTTCTCTGACCAAAAAGTTTAGAGCAGCAGATACTGATTTTCCTAAATACAATTCAGCTTAGCAGAATGACCATTTAGCATGTGCATACGGGCAGCACTAATGGGACTTAGGGGGTTAACAATAACAAAAATATACAAAGAGGACATGAAGATGGGAGAGTGATGGGGTGGCGGGCACCATGAGGGGTTGGAAGGAGATGATAGTGGATGGATATGGTCAATGTACATTTTATATATGTATGGAGCATCCAAAGAAAAATATTTCAAAAAATACCCATAGGGCAGATTTACTTGTATGGCAGAGCCAAACCAAAAACTATAATAAAATATAATATACGTGGTTTTGTGGCTGCATAGATAACCTAAGTAGAATATTTTGGATCTGGTAGACCACACAAATAGCAGAACTTTTAAAGCTTCTACCTAAAATAGAAAATCCTTTTTGCATCTTATAACTCTTACTAAAGTTTAGCACCTTCCCTGCTCTGTTTTTCATAATGAAGAAAATAAACACTTAGAAGCATATGACATTCAAACATGCCCTGCTTGTAGATTGGTGGTTTTTAAAAAATATTTTATTTATTATTTGCCTGTATGTATGTGAGTGCACTGGTGTTGGTGTTGTGGAGTGCTGCAGAGATCAGAAGAGGGTGTCAGATTCCCCTGGAAATGGAGTTAAGGACGGTTTTTAGCCACCATGTGGGTGCTAGGAATCAAACCTGGGTCCTCTGCAAGAGCATTCCCATTGTAGATTGGTGCTTTATTCACCTAGTCCTTGAAAGCCAAAGGTGTATTACGTTGGATAGGTGTAAGAGAATGACTGGTGTTTTCTGTTAATTTTACTTAAGGGATGAGATGCCCAAAATGTATGCATCAGCAATGTTAAGATTCCTGTTATCCAAGCAGTCTGTGCAGGATGCTTCAATCCCTTGGGCCGACTGATGAAGGTAGGAAGAACCAGGAAGCCTGTTGGCCTGGCATATTCATTAGGATGCATGTTCATCTATTGCACTTGATCAGTCATAAATGTTGTTACAAGAAGCCCACTAGGAGTGAAACTAGTGGGCAGTGAATGTGAGAAATGTTATCAGGTCCTTCCATGCCTTTCTTGTGTGCTGTATCCTTTGGCTGTGATTTGAATGTGAAATCACTTTGATGCTACCAAGACAATCAAAGAAGTGACCTGTGCTACCTTGTCCTTTTCCTCTTCCTCTGCAGTTGCTGCCAACTCCTCCCTGATGAGTCCATTCCTGTCCTGGGTTGAGATCTCTCTATTCCAACCGGGTTAATCTAAACATTTGCTCTTTTCCTTTAACTTGGTAAGTTGAGGTAAGAGATGCTCATAAGCAACACCACCAGCAGCGGCAGCAGCACCAGCAGCATCACCAGCAGGAGCAAAGTCTTCTAAAGAAACCACAAGCACTTGGAAGTAGTTGGCTGAAGGATCAGGAAGTGAAAGCATTTTAGCCACATAATGAGTTCCTTGGAGGCTAGCCTGGGCTACTTGAAACCCTGTCTTAAAAATGAACCAGTGAATCATGTATACTGACACCTACCTTTAATCCCAGTATTCTGGAGGCAGACGCAGGTGGAATGAATGAATGAATGAACAAATGCATGGAATTTTAAAAGTCATAAAAGAAATGTGAGTTTAATGAAGAAATTATTAACATACAATAATAAAGTCGGAGAAAACTCACACTGGCCCTGAAGTTATATTGCCACTTAAAATTCTGAATGTGATCAGTAATGATAGGCTCTGAAACAAAATCTAAACAAAATCTAAACCCTCCCTTGAGATGTGTGAGACCACCATTACATTGAGAACAATGTGGCATTTGTTGTTGCTGCAGATAACAAGCAGAGTTTCCTAAAAGCTATACCAGGCTATGATTTTTATTGAATTTTTTTGTGTATTTCATAGAGAACATCTCAAACAATCATATTTTTATGAGAGTGGTAAAATTCGAAATAGAAAGTGTGGCAAAAATTTTTAAGAAAAACTAGGAGGAAAATTGCTCAACTATTGAGTATATACCGACTTTTAAAAGTTACACATTTATATTACATATGAATATGATATATATTTCAAATTAAGGATAAACAAGAAGATTTCTAGAAGCGAATTTTATAGTAAGATTTAATCTGTTCAGTCTCAGAACATTCAGAAATTGAAAACTGTCAAGGATATCAGGAAATTCATAGGGAAATAAAGAGCATGTCTGTAAAAGCAAAGATAACAGAATTTTAAATGAAACACCACAGCCCCAAATGAATGTTTTTGTTAGTTACTTCTCTTGAAATTTTATAGTACTTCCTTAATTATCACTTTATGAACTGCTGTTACTATCTTGATGTGTCTATTAAACTGACATTCCATGCCTTTTATTTTTTTTTCATTTATTCAGAGACTTTGTGTGTCAGCACATGTAAATCGTCATTCCTTTAAACATACATTAGACACCATAATTAATTACAGCATTTCCTTGTCGACTTTTAGGCAACAGGTACCTTTTCTATTTGATCGGCAGTCATGAAAACTATTCTTTGTTTTCTTGGTTGGTTGGTTTTGATATTTTTGACACTGTGTATTCCTCTAGGCCCAGCTAGCCTGGAACTCCATATGTAGACTAAGCTGGCCTCAATCTCAAAGAGATCCCCTACTACTGACTCCAAGTCCTGGGATTAAAGGCATGTGCTACCATGCCCTGATAAGAACCATTTTTGAAATACAAAAATGTTTCATGTGTGGCATAATTTTTCTTTTGATTTTGTTAATTTTAATTCTTTTTGCCTGCATAAGTGTTTTAAATTTAATATTGCCACATCTATCTTGTCCCATCATTGAATTTTGGTATTTGGGTTATATAGACAACTTTCCATACAAAAATATGTTTTTATTTGCTTATCTTTCTTTTAGAATATTTACAGTTTTCACTACCAACACAGCCAACCAGTTATTTCTGCGATATTCATTGAATGTTGAATATCCAATATAATTACTTTTTTCATGTTATCTAATTTCTCATACGGTTTGGCATTATTTCTAGTCCCTTCAAAGTTATTTTTGTGATATTGTAAATCTTTTAAAATGCAACTTTTAATACAATTTTTAATATGTGATAAAATATTTCCTTATATCTAACAAATGGCATTAAAAGTGTCTTTAATAAAGGTTCATTTATAAATAAAAAATTTCCTTATAAATTTATTTTATAATTTGATATTTCAAGTTATGCTTTCCCAAGTGAATTGCTGTATCATTGGTGTATGAAGACTCTCCTCTTTCACCTACCAAAACTGGTTGATATTATGATTGGGGTTTGTTTGAACTTGTAGTTTAATTTACAAAGAATGAGGAACTTCTTTTTCAGTCTTTTTATCCAAAGGTCAGTATGTCCTGGGATTTTAATCAAGTCTTTTTTATATCCTCCTGGAGAGTTTTTTTCTTGTTCTTAAATAGTTTGTGAATATCTTTGAAAAGTCTGTTCTTAAGCTACTCCCCCGCCTACTTTTCCTTTTACTTCTTTTCCTTCTTATTGTTAAATCATCTATATTTAGAAGCTTCAATCTAGATTTGTGTTTTACTGTTCTCTTTCCCATTTGTCACATCTGCAAAGGCCATGAACCTCAATTTATGAGTTCTTTGCATCCTCAGCCTTCATCTTG